GTGGGGCGCGCTCGACCAAGCACGCGCGAACCCGTGTCGCCGACGGCAGCTGGTTTCGCCGACAGCAGCTGGTTTCGCCGACGGATCTGGTGTCACCGACGGAGCTGCTTTCGCCGGACGGCGAAACCAGCTGGGCGAAACCAGCTGGGCGAAGCCAGCCGTCGGCGAAACCAGCGGTCGCCTCTTGCGCGCCGCAGGGCTCAGAAACTTCGCCGCCGCACTTGGCGGTTAGGGCCCGCTGCCCTGGCCGCGCGGCGGCATGGACGCCTGCGGTGCGCTGCCCTGTGACGTGGACGGCAAGCGGCGCTCGCCACGGGCTGGCGCGGTCCCGTGGTTGACCCGCGCCCCGACGAAGTAAGCTCGTGCTCCTCCGAGGGTCCACACCCTTCCGCTCTACCCGTGCGCCATACGGCCTCGCTGCACCACGGGCAAGCAGGAGCCCCGCGTGCCTCCGCTGCTGCCCTGGTTCATTGCCAGCCTCGTGCGGTGCCGACCTGCTCCTCCTCCGTCACCTTCCCCTTCTCCTGCGAGCGGGGAGCGCTCCGCCTCCTCTCCCTCCTCCAACCCCACTCCTCGAGGAGATCGGAGAGGAGGGGGGGGGGGGCTAGGCGGCGGGGGGCCAGGGCTCGGCCTCCTCGAAGTTCTCCGACCGCACCGCGAGCTCCAGGGCCCACCGCAGGCTCACCTGGAATGACAAAGACTGCATGCGACCCCTGCGGCAGCAGACCCCAGACAGCCTCATGGGCGACACGATGGGGCGCCACGAGAAGGGGGGATAGGGATGGGGATAAGGACAGAACGCATAGGGATAAGGATAAATGGACAGGAAGATAAGGATACAAAGGGGTACGAACAGGGCCGATAAAGGGGGCCACGATGAGGCGCCACGACGAGACAAGGATCTCGTGAGGCCCAGCACGAGAGGAGGAGGAGGAGGAGAGAGTGGAGGAGGGGGAGGAGGGGGAGGAGGAGATGGAGGAGATGGAGGAGGAGGAGGAGGCGGAGGAGGAGGAGGAGGAGGAGGGGAGGAGGAGGGGAGGAGGAGGAGGAGGAGGAGGAGGAGGAGGGGAGAAGGAGGAGGAGGAGGAGGAGGAGGAGGAGGAGGAGGAGGAGGAGGAGGAGAGAGGAGGAGAGAGGAGATGGGCGGGTCGCCCAAGCCCTTCGGAGAAACCCTCCACACGAGGGGTGGAAGGGGCCACGAAGGGGGGCCGCCACCCTCGGGGGCCCGAGCGACGGGGGGCCACGAGGACCACTGGCCTCGGGGCCCGGGCGCCCTCACTGGGCGTGAGGGCAACATGCGAACAGGCTGCTCCCTCGCCATCGCTCGGACGTCCGTGCCCCGTGCATGTGTTCGACCTCGTGCGTGCACTGCTTCGCAGGGTGCTCCGGGATGCTCGTGCAAGGTCCTCGCCGAGAAGACAGAAGTGCACACGTCCGAGCGATGCCAAGGGAACAAGCGCAAGCGTTCCGAGAAAGCCGCGCGCCAGGGGCGGCGCCGCAGGCGCCGCCAGGGGGGCTCCAGCGCCAGCCCGAGAAGCCCGCGCGGATCTCCGAACGTGAACGCCACTCCCGCTGCTGCACTGTGCCCAGACACGCGGCGACGCGTTCCCTTCACAGCGTGGCTCCGCAGGAGGCCGGGATCCCGTCCAGGGGGCCAGCTCCTCCTCCCGAATCGCTTCTGCACGGCCTGGCCCTGGGGCCCGACAGCGGCCCCCAGAGGCCGACGGCGGCCACGATGATCCCGTCGTGCCGTCGTTGGCGGCGCGGGGAGCTCCAGGGCACGCCGCTGCTGAGACCCTTCCCAGACGTCCGCCGAAGAGGCCCCCAGGAGGCTCCAGGAGGGCCCCCCAGGAGGCCCAACAGGGGCCCCAGACCAGCCCCCCCCCAGAGGCCTCAACCTGCCTCCGGGAGGTCCCCGAGAGAGGCCTCGACGAGATCCCGCCGAGCATCCCGAAGGCCTCAGACCCACAATCCGGGCACGGCGGCGGGATGGACCGAAGGCCATCCGGCACCCTTCCTCGGACATCCGCCCATCTGCTGGCTTCCGTCCGCGGCCCCGTGGCTCCCGACCGCTCCCCGGGGGGGGCTCCTCGCCCCGGACCCGCTGCTGACGGCCCTGGGCCCCCGTCCGTAGCTCCCGACTACTTCCCTGGGGTCGGGAGCGGCCAAGAGGGGGGTGTCCAAGAGGGGGGGTGTGCAAATCATGACTGGCGGCATGTGCGCGGCCCAGCGGGGGGGCCAGGGACGTAATAAATTAAGAAGAGGCGCCACTAAATCTGGGGAGATATCATGGCCCACGCCATGATATCCCCCCCCCCCCAGTCATCACCCCCCTCTTTTCCGCCCCCGATGGGGGGGCTCCTCGCCCCGGACCCACTGCTGATGGCCCCGGGCCCGACCACGGACTCTGGTGGCCGAAACACAGTCGAGGCGTTGACCTCAGGAACCCCAAATGAAGGAGCGAGGCCCCTTCTTCCCATAAGCTCCCCTGAGATCCTGGCGACTCAACATTTTCGAGCCGGGCGTTTTCGCTCCATTTCAGGCCCCGGGACCCTCACAGATCGATCGGGCTCGAAAAATGACCAGAAAGATGAGGTCCGGGGCTCCAGATGGGATTTTTGCGATGTTGCAATTTGTCTGCAACGTTGGATCTCTGGGCCAGGAACCCCAAATTAAGGAACGAGGCTTCTTCTTCCCATGAGCTCCGCCTCGCTGTCCCGTGGAAAACACCTCGGGAGAACCCGAGGCAAACTCTGAGACAATCCAGGAGCACCGAGCCCCTCCCCAACGAGATGGGTTCCTTCTTCAGCGCCCCGACTGTACTCCTCCTGCAGAGGGGCGTCGACCCATTCCCCAGCACCGGATTTTCATCCTGAGTCGTTTGATTTGACGGTCCCGAGGCCCGTAAGGGCCCCTAGGGACCGAAATCTGAGGAAAACCTCCGTCTTGATCTTTTCAATACGTTGGATCTCTGCAAAAAAACAAGGTTTGAGATTCCAAGGCCGCGCCGTCGGAGGTCCCTATGGAGAGCTCCGACGCCTGCTGTTCGTTGCCGCACGGGGCGCACGCAGCCCCGACCCCGGCCCGCAGGGGCCGGCGCTGCGTTCCCGAGTCCTTCAGATTTTGGCGGCGCGCACAAGGGTGGAGGAAGGGGGGAGGGCTTCTGAGAAGGAGGCTGTTTCTTAGAAGGCGCCGACCTTACATCTATAGATAAGGGCCGCGCCTTCTGAGAAGCAGGGGTGCTTCTAAGAAGCCCTCCCCCGTCCCCCCACCCCCCTCTGCACGTGGCTGAAGTTTGAAGGGGCCCAAGGATACACAACTAAACACACGCAAGTAAACATATTTTTTGGGGGGGGTTCGTCTCCCCCCCCACTTCCCAGATGCTCCTTTACTTTCCGGGGAATCGACGATTAATTCTCTCTGTGTGTTTTTCCCCTCCTGAATCATCCTGTTGACGACCGGTCTCAGCTGGATGTGCATACTTCTCCACTCCGCTGGGCCTCCCAAGAGCCCACGGAAATGGCGACAGATGCGAGAGCAATTCGCAGCCCCCCCGGGAAACTGCGTGGTCTCGGCTGGGTCTGCGCACCATCCCACTCCGCTGGGCCTCCCAGGAGCCCACGAAAGTAGCGACAGATGCGCAATTCGCAGCCGCAAGGTCCCGCCTTGATCCCCCCACGGAAAAGCGAGGAGGAGGAGGCGGAGGAGGAGATGGGGAGGAAGGAGGAGGAAGGAGTGGAGACCACGGTGCTCTATTTAAGCCGAGAACCCAAGGAGGTTGGGAAAATCGAGGGATTCAGGGGGGGACCAGCTCAGTGGGGGAAACATCGAGCGACAACCGGCGATACATCGCCGATAGATCGGCGATATGCCCCAGAGCTCGAATCCGAGCGTTCCTGGGCGGGGCGGGCTTCATGGGGCTCCCTGTGTCGGCGATGACGACCGAGCGACTGGGGATCGGTGCCCCCCCCCCCCTGAGCCAAATTATCCCCCCTAGCGGTTCCCCTGAGCTGGGTATGGGCCCGATCTTGGCGGCGGACCCAGACCCCCGACGTCATGATTTTTTTCATGACGCGACCCCCAGAGGTCCAGGCCCATTCCCTGGGACCGGTTTTTCATCCTGAGTCGTTTTTTGACGGTCCCGAGGCCCGGTGAGAGCCCCCAGAGGCCGAAAATAGCGAAAAACCTCCCGTCGTGATTTTTTCATGACCCGAGGGGGTCTGGGGAGGAGGGGAGGCTTGGCCGATCCGGGGCCCGGTCGCCAGGTCCAGCGGCGGGTCCGGCCCGCCGCCGCCCGCCGGCGCGCGCCCCTCCGGCGCGCCCGCCGCCGCCCGACGCGCCGTGGCGCGCGGCGGGGCGCCCCCCCGCCGCCGCGCGCGCGCGCGCCGCCGCGGGCACGCCACGGCCGCGCAGCGGGCGGCCGCGGCCGCTGCGCCCGCGGCCGCGGCCGCCCGCGCCTGCGGCGGCCGGCGGCCGGCCCGCGCGCCGCCGCGGCGGCCGCCGCGGCGGCCGCCGCGCCCGCGCTCGGCGGCCGCCGACGCTCGGCGGCCGAGCGCCACGGCGCCGCGCCCGGCGGGCCGCAGCGCGCGCCGGCGGGCGGCTGCGCGGCGGGCGCGGGGCGCGCTGGCGGCCGCGGCAGCATGTCGCGGCGGCCCGCGCCGGGCAGGGGTGCCGCGCGGGGCAGCCGAGCCGAGGGGCTGCGCGCAGCAGAGGGCCTGCTGCTGCGGAAGGCCCCGGGGGCCCGCGGCCATAAGTGGAGGCCACAAGAAGCCCAACTCTGATACCCCATGACGTCGATCGTTTTTTGGTGCGGCAGCGTCGCGCTTTCCCAAGCAAAACCATCGAATCCCAAGAAACCCACGGCACCCTGGAGGCAAGCAGGGCGTTTCTTGGCATGGGCTTCCACTGTTTCTTCTCCAGGCCCCAGAGGTGCCCCGTGGACCGAGGCCTCCAACAAGCCTTCCGAGAGATGCCAAGAGGCTTCTTAGAAGCATCTCTCGAGGAGCACCAGAACTGTCCAAAAGCAGAGCGTGGGGTGGCCCAGCGCCGATCCGAGAAGCCTGGGCGCCTTGCTGTGCCGCTGACAGCTGGCGTGGCACGCTGCTTGTGGCACGGCGCGCTGCTCTCGCCACGCACGCCTGGCGCTACCTTGGCACCTCCCGTCCTCCTCGGCGCTCCGTCGCACGAGGCCCGGGCGCCGCTTCCGGCGCGCCGCCCGCCGCCGGCGGGCTCTCCCAGGTCGGCCGCCTACCCCTCCGCCGACGGGCGGCAGCGGGCGGGAGCGGCCCGCAGGGGGGGTCGGCCTGGCGCGCGCGCGCGCGGCGGCCCGAGCCCCGCCGAACCGGCGGGCCCTCAGTCCGCGGCCTGCGGTCGGAGCGCACGCCGCACGACGGCCGCGGCGGCGGCGGCGAGGGCGGCCATGGAAGGCGGCGGCGGCGGCGGCGGCGGCGGCAGGAGCGGCCACGACGAGCCGGCGGCGACGGCGGCGGCGCCAGCGACGAGATCGGCGACGACGGGCCTATTGCTTGTCCTTCTTCTTTTTCTTCTTGGGCTCCTCCGCCTCCTCGGTGGGGGCACAGGTCTCGATGGGGAAGGGGCGACAAAGGGGGGCGGCCTCCCGAGGAGACAGGGGCTGCGGAACTTCGAGGGGTGCCTGGGGGTCTCCGAAGGAGGCCTCTTGGAGTGGAGGCCTCCCAAATGGGGGTACGAAGCCAGGACGAGGATCAGATCGGGTGAGGATAGATCGAGAATCCCTAAGATCTGGCGGCTCTGGAGGATGTCTCTGGCGCCACGGCCTTCTCAGAGCGTTCCGGAACGCTCTGGAACGGATGTATTCCTCTCCTAGCCCCGTCAGAACATGGGGGGCCGTGGGAAGGCCCGCATCGGCGATGCATCGGCTTCAGGTCGCGCCGGCTCGGCGAAAAGCGGCCCGAAACTGCGCCTCCATCTGTTCCGGACACCCACCGGGGAGGCCTGGAAGAGGAGGAAAAGGAGGAGGAGGAGGAGGAGGCGGAGGACAAGGAGGATAAGGAAAAGCAGGAGGAAAAGCAGGAGGAGGAGGAAGAGGAAAAGGATGATGTCTTACATGATGTATTGCTTGTCCTTCCATCGGGGGGTCAGAAGGAGTGTGGTCCTATTGGCCGCGCGCACGCAAGCAGGAGGCTTCTCAGAAGTCGTCTACACGCAAGATTGACCCTGGGCAAGAGTAATCTCTGGTGCGCGGCATTCGGGGGCCGCGGCGGGGCCAGATCCAAGTGCACAAGCCAAGGCTGGGGAGACCGCTGCGGGCTCGCACTGATGGCCACTCCAGCGAAGGGGATCACTCCCCAGACCCCAATCGCAAGGGGTCTTGCTCATAGCCCAGGCCCCCGGGGAGGTCTCGCAGGCCTTGAGCCCAGGCGCCGCCGCCGCGAGCTCCGCGCGGAGCTCCGAACGTGCAGTGCCAGGGGGTGGCGGCCCCGTCTTCCCACCCCACCACCAGGAGGGGGATGCGAAGTCCCCGATGACGGGGCGGGGTGGGCACGAGTGGGCATCGTAGCCGGATCAAAACCACGAGAGGCATCAAAGCTGATGACATCCCAATTGCCAACTCATGCGTTGCAGCATGCTCTCCCCTCGAGTCTTGAAAAAGCACGGCGGATGGTTGCTGTTCTCTGGCTCCAGGGATCCTTACCGGGCCTCTGGAGCGCCAAAGAACGACGCAGGATGAGGAACCGGTCCCTCTGGGGGCAGACGTTATGGAACAAGCATGACGTCGGGGATCGGGGCTCTGAGTTCATCAGCATGCCGTGTTCGATTTATGCTGGCCGAGATGGCCCAGGAGGGGGCTGGCCAAGGCCTGTGCTGGTGCAAGCCGGGAAGTCGTAGCGAGGCACCCCTTTTTGGTCCCGGTTGCGCCTGCGATTAAAACGAGCGCCCAGTGAATTACTCGACGAGGAGAACCCCATTTGTCATGGCACCTCCCTCTGTGAGCGTCTGAATGAGACAGTCTTATCCTGTGGCAACCGAGCGCTCCCTAACGGCTTCCTTTTGGAAGGTCCAACTTCTACGCCTGCTACATCGGGATGATCTTGGGACTCTGTAAGGAAAGGAGTCGGGTGTGCCCAAACCAGCGTTTCGCTTCAGCTATCAGCACAACGTGACAGCGGTCAGGCAACTGTGACACCCATTGGTGGCGCATCCTTGGGGTGCCCGAGCGTTATGCCTGCTGCATCGCGGTGCTGACTGTGCTCGGCGAAGGTACAAACGAGCGAACCGCTGGAGACATCCCTACAATGTGGCAGCGAACGGGCAAGTGCCACCCTTGCTGGCGGCTCCTCTGGGTGCAAAATTGCCAAGCTTGCTACGTCGCGGTGATCACGGTACTTTCAAAGCAAAGGAGTCGGGGACGCTAAACAAGTGAACCGCTCAAGACATCCCCACAATCTGGGCGTGAGCGGGCAATTGTCCTGCTTCCTTGCGGCTCATCCCTGGGGTGCCCAGGTGCCACGTCCGCTACATCGCGGCGACCATAGGCGAGTCTGAATGTGAGGGGCGATGGTGGGTAGGGCTTTGTCTGAGCGTGAACCTGAGTATGAATGAGCCTGATCGTCACTGACCAGAGTGTGAGCAGTCTGTGCATATGTACCACTAAGCTGCCATGGATGGACCTGAATGGAAAGGTATAGGTGAGTTTGAGCATGGGTTGGTCTGAATACGTATCAGTGGATATGGAGTGGTATGATAGTGAGTAGCGAGTCCGAGCAGGAGTGAGTCTAAGTGTGAGCGAATCTGAACATGAGTGGGTCTGTCAGTGTGTCTGAGTCTGAATGTGAATGCATCTGAATGCGAGTCGGCATGAGCGCTAATCATTTTGAGTATGAATGGGTCTGAAAGTGGAAGGGAGAAGGCGGGAGCGTGAGAAGAGGAAAGCGCCACAATATCAACAAGGTCCCCACTCAGGGAACCATGCGAGGAGGCACGCCGAACCACTTTTGAAACCAGCACGGCCATTCTCACAGCGTCTTGACTGTAATAGCTGGCCATGTCCGAGCCGACGCAAAGGAAAGGGGCCCCGGGGCGAGGAACGGATCCTCGGACCCCGAGGCTTACCCGGGACCAGCCTTCCATCCCGAATCGTTTTCTGACGGCCCTGGGGCCCAGGTGGCGCCCCCAGAAGCCCGAAAGGGCGAGCAGGGATCCAGGGCCCCGCTACCGCCAGGACCACCTCTCCCTTCATGCCTGATGGATGGCTGCCCGTGTCCGAGCCTCCTCGCCAGCGGCCTCCTCGGCCTCGGGGTTCTTCTTCCGCTTCGCTTTGGGCTCCTGTGGAAGCAGAGAGAGAGAGAGAGAGAGAGACTGCACACGCACGCCAGCCTTGGGAGCACCGCGCGGACCCCCGAGCGCGCCTATGTCCGTGCTGGCTTCTGTTCTCACCGTCCAGTCCGGGGTTGCCAGAAGGTCTGGAGGCAACTACTGGGAGGTCTTCGTCGGAAGGACTCGGGAGGATTGAGCCCCATGGGGGGGGGCTGCGTTGCGCCAAATTGGACCGCGGATGCAGCGGGATGAAGCCGGATCAAGCGGGATGAAGCCGGATGCAGCGGGAACAAGCCGGGCTCAGCCGGAGTTCGGACCAGGACAACAGTCAAGAATGTTTTGACCTCCCAGGAGTGGCATAATCCGAACGAGGGGTGCCCGCTGGCCCAGGCAGTGCCCACATGACTCAAACCTGGGCCTCCAGAGAGAGCACGCCTCGCCAGGTCCAGAGGGCCACAGGACCACGGGGCTCAAACATATACACTCAAGTCGGGCGTGTCCCCCTACAGAGGGATTTTTGACGAAAAATGCAAAATACTCAAAAATACTCCCAAATGGCAAAAAATACTAGACAAAATAGTCCCCATACTATGTATTGCCTATTTTTGAGTATTCCCCCTGTGGATGGACAGGCCCGATTTAAATATACACCACCACCACCACCACCACCACCACCACCACCACCACCACCACCACCACCACCACCCTCATCCCCTCTCTCCCAGGAAGGAGAACTAGAGGAGGCTCGAGGAGGGGAGGGGGGATGAAGGTGGTAGTGGCGTGTATCCTTGTGGCCCGCAAGGACCTCCCGAAATTCGTGGACAAGCCGCGGACTCCTTGGGCCATGGCCACCTTCCCAAACATCCACCGATCTGATGTGTTCCATCCGCGGCCCTCCCGACCCCTGCCCTGGGGGCAAGTTTTCGTCCCGGAGATGGTCCGGGGCCCGGTGAGGAACCCCAGAGGCTGAAATCGAGGAGCAAAAATATCCAGATAGACAACAAAAAAACAGATCGGCGGAGATCTGCGCCTTCGGCCAGGCCCACCCGACGGCCAGGGCCACCACTTGGCAGGCCCCGGACGTCGAGCCCGGGGGCTCCTCGACGGCCTCATCCTCCGCACCTCCGGCGGTGAGCTTGGGCAGCCAGCTCCACCTGCTGGGCGGAGAGCGAGGGCAACGACGGGGCGGGGGCTGGCTCGCAGGAACAGAAAGCATCGGCCTGACATCGGCGACCCCTCGCCGATGGATCGGCGACAGGCCCCCGGTGGCGAATCTGCACGTTCCTGAACAGGGTGGGCTGTCGGGTCAGATCGGCGAGGAGTGGTCGATCGGGAGTCGATGCCTGGCGCACCTGAGCCGATTCCCCCCCTGAGGTTGCGGGGGGGGGGGTCGGCTCACCCCGGTCATCCCACCAGCCTTCTGGGCTCACCCCCCAACACCCTCCCGGACTCCGATAAGATGCTTTCATTCCGTCGGCCCTCTGCGGCCGTGTTCGAGCCAGGGGCAATCAAACATGAACATGGGACGAAAAACTACCCCCGAGGAAAGGGTGAGGACATCTGGGGCCGGATTGAAAATAAACAGATCGGCGGATGTCAGCGCATGCGTCGTGAACAAAAACACGACGGCAGGTTTCTGGTGTAATCCCATCAGCCCTCTGGGCTAAGGCGGCTTAGAACGTTTCCTCTTCCATCCTCCCTCCTTCTTCACCTCTGGGGATGGGGATGACAACCCCCTTGACCACCTGACCGGCGATACACCGAAACCAGGAGTACACCCCCTTTCACCTTACACACCATCCTGCTCAGAAAACCAAAACGCACGTTGCGGTGCAGTCTGGATCATCTGCGGGGCCCTGCGATCCCGTGTACATTGTATTCTGACAGGGGCGACCGGGGGGGAGCATCCGATTGCCCTGCGTGTGCAGGCCCACCATCCCTGTCGAACACGAATGCAACATGCGGGTTGCGGCGAAAGCTTGGACAATGCGTGGGCGCCCCGCGCTGACCACATTGCTTGGTTATTTGGCAATGGTGCCAAGGGGTGCCCTGGCGAAGACGGCGTACCTCGCGGGCTTCGCTTATCTGGCGTTTGCAGTGGTTCCCGATGATTGTCGATGGCAGCCCCTGCCCATGCTGAGACTCGGGGGCTACTTATGTGTTGGAGGTTGGATGGGAGTGAGCGAGACGGCTTGCGGCTTGCGGGTGTATTGATCTCTGCTGCTTATTAATCCAACCAGTCCTTTGGAATCAAATGGTCAAACGATGCCTTTCTTTCCTCGTCCAAAAACCACTCCCCCTGGGGGAAGCTGGGGGAAGGATAATACTCTCCCCCCCCCTTCCCTGAGGTTGTTTGGGGAGGTCCACGAGGTGTCAGGTCGTCGCCCAAGATGACTTCAAGAAGGCCTCCGATGTTCCACGATGGCCGTCAAGATGGCTCAAGAGAACCGAAGGTGCTTCAAGATAGCCTCCGACACTTTCCAAGAGGCCCGACGAGGACCACAATAATATTCCAAGTGCTCTTGGAGCCCCCTCAGACCCCCCCAAGAGGCAAACATCCTTCAAACACCGATGGAAAATCAATGAGTTGTGCCTTCTCCCCTTTCCCCTTACGCTGCGTCTTTGAGACCTTAGGATGGCCCCACTATGGCCCAAGAGAGGCCCGAGAGGGACCCCAGACGCGCCCCAGACTGCCCCAAGAGCACCCAAGAGCGGTCCGAGAGGGCCCCACAAGGCGACGTTGATGGCCAAGGGGGGGAGGGGGGGGCGGAAATCGGGGACCACCTACAAGCTTTGTAGGGCTCCCAAGGGACCCCCAGGAGAGTCCCAAGAGGGCCCCAACAGGGCCTCAAGACGGCCCCAAGGCGGCCCCAAGAGCGTCCCACGAGGGCGCCGAGAGGCGGTTTGCCTCCTCGTCCTCCTCCTCCTCCTCCTCCTCCTCCTCCTCCTCCTCCTTCTCTCGCTCCGTCGCGGGCTCCAGGGATTGCCCGAAGAGGCCCTCCAAGGCCACCCCCTTGTTCCCAGAATTCCCTCTGTTCATCCTGGCTGCCCGCTTTGTTTCCCTATCTGTCTCTCTTCGTGCGTTTTCCGGCCAGCTCTCATGGGCAACGTTTCTGAACGGGCTGGTGGGGATACTTCTGTTCGCGAGCGCAAGCGGGAGAGCCGCGCGCCGTCACAAGGGTCAAGCAAAAACCAAAATGACGCGGTCGGGAACAAAAGCGCGTGCAGCGAGCAAGCAGCAGAAAATGTAGGCAGCGCGCCTGGGCCTAACAGCCGCTGGTGGGGATACGCGAAGAGAGAATGATATAAAGACCCTCTGCCCCACCCGGCCAGCGACCAACCATGGACAATGCCGACTCCCCTTCCCACCGTCCCTGAATAACAATGCAATATTTACTTTGCGGCAGCATCTGGATCATGTTCGGGCTCCCCGCTGTTTTTGGGCAGTGGCGACGGGGGGGGGCCCTCCGATGGCCCCGCGTGTGCAGGCCCCCCACCCCTGCCAAAAAAAATGCCACGCGCACGCTGCAGCAAACATCTTCGACCATGCGCGGGGGCCCCGCGGTAATTTTGCGCTGCTCGGATGACAAGGAGTACCCTGGCGCGCGCGGCGCACCTCGTGGGCGTCGCCTACCTAGCTGGCGTCTGCACTGGTTCCCGATGGTTGCCGATGGCGCCCCCTGCCTATGCTGAGCCTCGGGTGCTACTTGTGTGGTGGGAAGGTGGCTGGGAGTGGGCGAGACGACCGCCTTCCGGGGTGTGTGGAGCTTGACCCTTCCCCCCACACCCTCCCCCCAGGTCTGAAGGAGGGGGAGGGTCGGGAGCGGTCACAGCATCCAAGATGGCCCAAGCAAGAGAGCAAAATCCCTGATTCGTCTCACGCCAACGCATGCAGCAGATCGTGCGCCCCCATGTTCCCGATCCCCTCCCATTTCGGGACGGTGCGGGCACCCCTGGCGACGCCGTCGGCGACGAGCAGCCGCTGGAGAGCTGCCCGAGGCGGAGCCACTGGTGGGGACCGACGGCAGCGTCCGAAAAGGAGCCTCGAGCCGAGTTCGTCCAGCACGAGCCACCTCCTCCTCCTCGTCGTCCTCCTCCTGCTCCTCCTCCTGCTCCTCCTCCTCCTCCTCCTCCTCCTCCTCCTCCTCCTCCTCCTCAGCCATTTCGCGTCCGAACGGCCCCCCCACTGCACCGGGCCCCTTGGACGATGCGGCGCGCAAACTTCGAAGTGGCGCTGCGCGCCCGAGTCATGAAGAAGCAGCGCGGAGCCCCACGCCATCAGCTACAACGCTGAGATCAGGCGAACGCGCAGCTGCCAGGATGCCCGCCCCTCCTCCTCCTCTCCGTTTCCACCCTCCTCCACCTCCTGGCAGACCGGGGCGCCAGCCGATGCGGCGCCGCGGGCAGAGTGCGGGGACAACAGAGTCGTGATCAGCTACAGCGTAGGGATCAGGCCGTGAGAGAAGACCAGCAGTGGCAGGCAGAGCTGACGCTGCGAGAAAGCAAGCAGTGGCAACCAGAGCTGGCGCTGCGACAAGGACGAAGGCGCGGGTGGGCCACGATCAGCTACAACGCTGGGAGCAATCCGTGCGAGAAAGGGAGCGCACAGTGGCAGCGGACGCTGGCGCTGTGCAAAATGCGCGGGTGGGCCACGATCAGCTGCAACGCTGGGAGTCGTCCCTGCGAAAAGGAGGGCCTGCGAGAAGCGGGAAGCGAAGCTGGAGCCCGAGTGTCTCTTCTAGCCAACGCCTCTGGGAAGAGCGCGGGTGAGAAAAGCGAGCAATGTTCTGCCGCGGCCATCCTGCGAGAAGTGGGAGGCGAAGGCAGAGCTCGATGTCGACAGCTACAGCGTCGGAATCGGGGCAAGCCGCTGCGAAAAGAGGGAGGCGAAGCTCGAGCCCGAGTGTCTCTACTAGCTAACGCCTATGGGAACAGCGCGTGCGAGAAAAGCGAGCGATGTTCTGCCGCGGCCATCCTGCGAGAAGTGGGAGGCAAAGGCAGAGCCCGATGTCGACAGCTACAGCGTTGGGATCGGGGCAAACCGCTGCGAGAAGAGGGAGGCGAAGCTGGAGCCCGAGTGTCTTTTCTAGCTAACACCTCTGGGAACAGTGCGTGCGAGAAAAGCGAGCAATGTTCTGCCGCGGCCATCCTGCGAGAAGTGGGAGGCGAAGGCAGAGCCCGATGTCGACAGCTACAGCGTTGGGATCGGGGCAAACCGCTGCGAGAAGAGGAAGGCAAAGCTGGAGCCACACGTCGTATAGCTAACACCTCTGGGAACAGTGCGTGCGAGAAGAGCGCCACCCTGCGAGAAGTGGGAGGCGAAGGCAGAGCTAACACCTTTGGGAACAGTGTGTGCGAGAGGAGCGCCATCCTGCGAGAAGTGGGGGGCGAAGGCAGAGCCCGACGTCGTCTGCTACAGCGTTGGGATCTGGGCAAGCCGCTGCGAGAAGAAGGAAGCAATGCTGGAGCCAAACGTCACCTGTCTAGCCACCACCGCGTGCTGGGAGAAGCGGGAGGCAAAGTTGGAGCCCGACTCTATCTAGCTACACTCGCTGGAAGCAACGCGTGCGAGAAGTGCAGGAGCCAACGAACGGGCTCCGGCGCGAAATGGCATGGCACGGACGAGCTACCCTCAGTTACAGTGCAGAGATCCGCCCGCTGTGCGAGAGCAGGGGGGAAGGAAATCCACTCGTGCGGAAAGGGGTAAGCAAGCAGGCAGTGGCAGCGGGGCTGCCCAAGCGTGCGTGCGATAAAACAGGCAGTGGCAGCGTGCTGCCACGGCGTGTCTCAGTGTCCTGGGGGCGATCCTCGGAAGATCTCTGGGCGTTTGAATCGGTTGGGGGAAGGGCGACACCCGACCACCAACCGCCTTTTCTGATGCAGCCCCATGTCGCCCAGGAGAGGCCTGGGGGATGGTGCTGTCTCATCGTCGTCGGTCGCGCTCTCTTGCTCATGGCACGGCAGATCTGGATAGCAGAATCCTCATAGCAGAATCCTCCTCCTCCTCCTCCGCCCCCTCCTCCTCCTCCTTCATTTCGCCGGGCCCCCCGCCTGCCCTGGCCCAGCAGCCAGGCCCGGGGCGTCTTCTCGTTGGGCTTCCCCTTCTCCGTGAGCTTCCTGCGGCGGTGGGTTCGCGACGGCCCCTCCTGCACTCCACTCTGTCCTCCTCCTCCTCCTCTTCCTCCTCCTCCTCCTCCTCCTCCTCCTCCAGTTCCTCTTCCTCCTCCTCTTTATTGATTCCTCCTTCTCCACCTCCACTATTTCTTCCTCCTCCTCCTCCTTCTCCAACACCTCCTGCTCCTCCTCATATATTTCCCCTGCCCTCTCCCCCTCCTCCTTCTTCTCTCGCCTCTTCCTCCTCAAAGCATAACCAGAAGGGTCAGCGAGCTGCATAGGTGGCGACGTCCGACACAGACCCAGACAACCATCGATTCTCCTGAATCGATGAGAGGCGGGGGTAGGGTTCGCATGTCGCCATGTGTTCAACGAATTCCACCAGCCCTTTGCGCTAAGGTGGTCCAACGAGTTCTTCCTGTCATCTTCCAAAGCCCTCTTCCATTCGGAGAGGAGTGCCCTTCCCCTCCTCTCCCTGAGATGCTTTGGGTTGGGCCGCGACGTGTGAGGGTTTTTTGTTCGACTAAGATGGCTCCAAGAGGGCCTCTCCGATGCTCCACGATGGCCGCCAAGATGGCCCAAGATAGCCGACGATGCTTCAAGACAGTTTCCGACACACCTACCTCTAAGAGACCTGACGAGGGCCACAAGACGGTTCCAAGTGCTCTCAGAGCCCCCTGAGGACTCCCCCCCAAGAGGCCCAAATCCTGAAAACATCTAAAGGAAACCCATGGGTTGTGGCTTCTCGCCTTGTCGCTTCGGATGCGCTTTTTGAGGCTTCAAGGTGGCCCCTGATATTGCGCATGAGACCCAAGAGGGGCCCGAGAGGCCCCCCCGACGTCACCAAGAGCGCCCCAAAGCGGCCCAAGAGCGCCCAAGGGGCCCACAGAGGCGATTTCGATGGTCCCAGGGGGGCAAGGCAAATCGAGGACCCCCTTCTTTTTGATCGTTGGCCTCCAAGATGGCCCCACGAGGCTCCCCAGGGCTCCCAAGGGACCTCCAAGAAGGCTCCAAGAGGGCCCCAAGACTCCCAAAAGAGCCCCAAGAGGACCCCAACATCCCCCAAAAGAGTCCCAAGAGGGCTCCAAGAGGCGATTTTGAGGGTTCTGTCATCGTCCTCGTTGTCCTCCTCCTCCTCGTCCTCGTCCTCGTCCTTGCAATCATCGTCTTCCTTTTCCTCTTCCTCCTCTTCCTCGTCGTCGTGGTCGTCGTGGTCGTGGTCGTGGTCGTGGTCGTCGTGGTCGTGGTCGTGGTCGTGGCTGTCGTCGTGGTCGTGGTCGTGGTCGTGGTCGTGGTCGTGGTCGTGGTCGTGGTCGTGGTCGTGGTCGTGGTCGTGGTCGTGGTCGTGGTCGTCGTCCTCGTCGTCTTCCTCCTCCTTCCCTCGCCCTCACGCGGGCCCCAGGGATGACCCGAAGGGGCCCTCCAAGGCCACTCCCGTGCTCCCAGAGATTTCTCTGTTCAACCTGGTTGCCCGCTTTGTTTTACTTCATGTGTCTCTTCGTCCCTTTTTCCGTCAACTCGCATGGGCAGGGTTTGTGAATGGGCTTGGAGGGATACGCGAAGCGTGAAGAATTACGAACCCTACCCCCGACGCCCATCGAGTTGCCTGGGTCATTGATCGGCGAGGGTAAGATTCGGAGTTTGCCTCCGGCTACAAAACTCAGCAGGCGGGGGTGTAAAGGACGCGTTCGAGTAGTCCTCAGAAACAGAGAGTGAAGAGACAGAAACAGAGCAAGAGAGAGAGAGAGAGACAAACCAACCAACCAATAAACAAAGAGGAACATCACACACAGCATTTGGCGGCGCGCACAAGGGGGCTTAGGGGGAGGGGGAAGGCTTCTTAGAAGGAGGCTGATTCCTAGACGGCGCCAGCCCTACATCTACAGACAAGGCCGCGCCTTCTAAGAAACAGAGGTGCTTCTAAGAAGCCTTCCCCCTCCCCCATACCCTCCTCTCCGCGTGGCCGGAACATGGAAAGGAAAGCACACCCAACCCAACACCCGCACCATTTTCCACCGTGGACCGGCCACGGCCGAGCAGGACGGGAAGGGAGGGGAGGCCCAGAACTCGCACAGGCACAGCTATCATTATAAACACCCCTTCCTGCGCTCGTGCCCAGCGCAGGCAGAGGTTTTGTATACAGTTCTCGAGTTGCGCGTGTCATCCTTGCGCAGGAGCCATGCCACAATCTGTTCTGCACCGTTCCAATGTGAACGGATCTTCACCAAAGGGAATCCAGATTAAAAACCCCTGCTTCTCCTCCAACCCTCCCTCCTCCATCCTCCTCACCCCCTCCTCCCTCCCCCACCCGCCCCTCCCCCTCCCCCTCCCCTCCTCCTCCTCCTCCTCCTCCTCCTCCTCCTCCTCCTCCTCCTCTTCCTCCTCTTCCTCCTCCTCCTGATCCTCCTCCTGCTCCTCCATTCCCTCTCTTTACAAGTAACTTCTCCCTGGCGCACCCCGAGCCCAGTTTTTAGGGCGGGCCATGCGATTCGCCTGAGACTTTCTCACCATCTATGACTCTGAAGCTTAAGAGTTGTCAACAGCTTCACAGATGGAGGGCGGGTCGTTTTCAAAATGTGGCTATCGCCTTAGCGCCGCGCACACTCGTCTTACAACTTTGCAAGCATTTCGCTGATTGAGGGCGAGTCGTTTTCAAAATTTGGCTCTCGCCTTAGCGCCGAGCGCATTAGTCTTCAAAACTTGCAAGATCTTCGCGGGTTGAGGGCGGTTCCGTTTCAAAGTGTGGCTCTCGCCTGAGCGCCGCGAGCAGTCGGCTTAAACTTTGCAAGGGTTTCGCGGGTTCCCATGATCAGCGTACCAGAAACTGTGATTTGGAAGGGTTCAGGCTTAGAGGGTGCACACGTTATGTCGATTCGCGGTGTTGAAGTCCCAAGAATGGCGTTCTGACACACTTCAGGACCGTTAAGACGCAACAGTCAGGTTGATCCGTGTCGTTGTTCTCCCGAGAGCAATGTTTTGGCATGCTTCAAGGTCTTCAAACAATTGCCTTCCAACGAGGCAGTTCCCTCGGTATAAATGAACAATTGTAGGGGCCTGTGAAGAGGGAGCTTGGAGGGATGGTTTATTACAAGAACGTTGATGCCCCTGGGTTTACGTACACTGGACCTCCTGCTCCCCCTCCTCCTCCTCCTCCTCCT